CTTGCGGATCAGCAGCTCGGTGGACTTCTGGTAGCGCCGGATCTCGCGCAGCGCCACGGTGCCCGGCCGGTAGCGGTGCGGCTTCTTCACGCCGCCCGTGGCCGGGGCGCTCTTGCGGGCCGCCTTGGTGGCCAGCTGCTTGCGCGGGGCCTTGCCGCCGGTCGACTTGCGGGCGGTCTGCTTCGTGCGCGCCATAGCGGACGGCGACGGGGACGAGAGCTCAAGAGCTCAGCGACTGACACCCTAAAGACGCCCCCGGGCCCGCGCAGCACCCTTTTATAGGCAGTCTTTTCCCCACTGGGCGGGAAAATTTAATTGAAAAGCCCGCGCTGCAGGTCCATTGGCTCTGACCCCTGGCCCGGCGCCGCCGATTGGCTCGGGCCGCTCCCAACCCCGCCCCGCCCCGCCCCGCCCCGCCCCGCTCTCAGCTGCTTTCCGCGTGTTTTTTCCCGGCCGGCCAAGTTGCAGCCCCGGGCTGTGTGCCTGCGTGGCCGTCACCCCTGCGCCCCTCTGGCCGGGGCTCGGCTGGCGCGGCGCGGTGGCGGAGCGAGCCCGGCGTCTTCCCCAAGGTAGCTCACCTGCGGCGCGGCGAGCTCGGTGAACATGGCCGCCTGCGGGCCGCGGCCCCGGGCTCGGCTCTGTCCCGGCCTGCGTGCACCTGACCCGCGACCACCGCACGTGTCCCGGGGCCTCCGATTCCCCCCCAGGGCCAAAGCACGCTGTTGCTGTCGTCTGCGCTGGCCGCGCTCAGGACTTGACACAACTTCTCCTCAGGCCGCACCTGGGTGTTAACGGGTGGGTCGGCTATTTATTTATTTATTTTTGGTACCGGGGATCGAACTCGGGACCTTGCGCTTGCGAGGCAGGCGCCGGAACCACTGAGCTAAATCCTCGGCCCCGGGGTACATATTTAAAAAGGCACCCGTGTCTTTCTGAGAGATGTCCTCAGTTTACCTGTGCCTCTTCGGTTTGCTTTTTTTGTTTGGGGACCGATTATTTGGCGACATAACCCATGAGGTGTGCAAAGCAGGAAGGATCCTTGAATTTTAGAGAATTGATGAGAATTAGGATTTAGGGGTAAAAATGTCCATTACACCCATTTGCATCTAAAACTCATTTTCAGTGACTCAAAGCTGACCTGATAGGGTTCTGTTAAGTAATATGGCTTGTCTGTGTAATTGTGGCTTGCAAGTACCTTAATCTATGCCTGTGTTTAGCTTCTTGGTGCGTGTGTGTGTGTGTGTGTGTGTGTGTGTGTGTGAGCTGTGCTCCATCCCTGGCTAGAAGACACATCACTTGCAGTTGAAACCTATGTTAATTCAAAATGGCAGCATGAAAAATCAGGCCAGGGATAAGCAGCAACAGACCACAGCCAGCAACGGCTGCCCTCTGACTTCAGCCTTGGAGAGAAGTCTCTCTTGGGTTTCAGGTAGAGAGTGATTCTTGTAGGTAGTTAAATTTTAGCGTTTGGCAGAATCCTAGGGGGTGAGTGGGAAGTTTGGAGAGCTGCTATTATTTTCTCTAACTTGTCAAAGCGATACAAAACCACATTTTGATCTGATTTTCTTCAGGCTCAGCTAAAGTTGACTATATGACTGCTGATGTCCGATGCACAACTTAGATACTGTTTTGTACCTACAAGCAGCTCTTAAAAGAGATGGGTGTAGAGTGTAAGCCTCAGCCAAGAGCAAATACTGTACAGACAGAAAGCTGCATTGGAAGAGCTGATTTGGCACCATGAGCAAGTACCCAGGTACCAGGGAATGGCAAGTTCTTGAAAGGTGACTCATTTTAGGGTTTTTTCCCTTCCCTTTGCACTGCCTTGCTGCCAGCCATCTTGTCTTTTAGGAAGGAGGAGATGCAGGAGGAAGCAAGTGCTGTGGGGATAATGGAATAGAGGAAGGTGGGCCAGGAGTGGCAAAGCAGGAGGCATCCTGAGCAAGTTTTCTGTCAGCCCCCTTTTTACAGTGAGGAGGCTGAATTGAGCAGGCCAGATGGACCACCAAGATCATAGAGCTGACTGGCTACTGACAGTGAGAATCCAAGTCCAGGCCCTGTAATTCCCCAGTCTGAAATTCCACATGCCTCCTTTCAAAGCCGGGGAGAAAAGGGCACCTTTGCTCTTGTTAGGATGGCAGATACTTTGAGCAATGGGAAACCAAGCTGTTCCATGAATTTAAAAACCTATAGGTGTTTAAAGTAAGGGACTTTACCATAGTTTCTTATTTCAAGACCATTGACCTTCTTAATCTGTGTACAGCTCACATTCACTGAAGAACTAAAACCTTAATTTTAACCAAAATCTCCGAGGTGGGAAGTATATTCTTTTATTTAAAAATCAGACGCTTCTGTTTGTGTTTGGCCAGTTTATTTGGAAAAACCCTAAGAGGTCCATGTATCTAGTTTTTTTTGAGTGTATTAATTGTAAGTAGAAGTAAATAACAAGTCCATTTTAAAATAACTTGCCCTGAAATCAGAAGGTTTTTCTGTAATTTGAATTAGAAGTTTGCATGTTATGATCAGTGACTCTGAATCTACCAAAGCAGAAGTAGAGATTGTGTATGGGTTTAGTGTTTATACAGTGGTGGTGTAGACATGGACATTCTCGTGTTCTGTGTTCACAGCCAGTGATGTGGGAAGGAGAAGGGGGTAGGAGGCAGAGAGCAGGGAGAATGTCTTGTGACAGTGGGGTAGATGGGTACTAGGTGTGGGGTAGATGTGTTATGCTGAGACAAAGGCCATTAAAAAAACTTTCATTGAGCATGAATGTGAAGATAGATCTGAGATAAAACAATACATAAATATGTTTGGTGGAGAACAATAAAAATACAAATATACAAAACTTATTTATTTATTTATTTGGTACTGGGGATTGAACTCGGGACCTTGCGCTTGCAAGGCAGGTGCTGGAACCACTGAGCTAAATCCCCGGCTACAAAACTTATTTTTAAGGAATCACCATTTTCTTTGAGGCAAGAAGCAAGTTCTGTGCTGTGCAATTTGGCAGCTGTTAGCCTCTTGTGGCTACTGAGCCCTTGAAATGTGGCTGAGATGTCCTATAATGTAAAAACACACCAGGTTCCAAAAATTTAATGTGAAGAGAATTTAAGGTATGTTGTTAGTAATTTTTATATAGATATGATATTGAAGTAATAACTTGGCTATATTGGGTTGAATAAAATATATTATTAAAAAGCTTCAGCAGTCTTTATCTTTTTAATGTAGTTACTAGAAAATACAAAATTGGATGATATGACTTCTGTCTGTCTTGTGTTGAATTTCTGTGGGCAGTGTTGGTCTAGGTCATTAACAGGAAGTGGAGGCTCTTGATGGTATTAGAACTGGGCATAGAAGGAGAAACAGACACTGGAAGAGGATAGGGTGAGTGTTGTATTGGTCAGCATTTCATCACTGTAATCAAATGCTCAACATACATAAAGGAGAAAAGGTTTATTTTAGCTCTCAGTTTCAGCAGTTTCAATCCATGGCTTGTTGTCTCCAGGGCAGAAACATAATGATGGAAGGGCATGGTGGGGGAAGCTTCTCACTGCATGGCAGCCAAGAAGTAGAGAGCCAGAGAGAGGGGAAGGACTTGACGACAAGAATATTCCTTTCCAGGTTATGCTCCAGTGATGTTTCCTCCCACCAGGCCCCACTTCCTAACAGCACGTTCATTGTAAACTTATCAATGGATTAATCCATTGATGAGGTTGAGATTAGCTCTCCCATGATCTAATCACTTTCCAAAAGCCCCACTTCTGAGCTTGTAAGCCTTCTAGGGGACATTTTTGATCCAAACCACAAGTGGAGAAGCAGTGCAAGGAGTGAGTGATCAGTAACACTTTGCAGAGGGGGAGAAGTTGTGGTACTTTGGAACGGCTGGGTTATAGCAGTTTTTCCCATGGTGCTGGGGATGGAATCCAGGCCCTTGTACATGTAGGCTTCTTCTCTACTACTGAATTACATCCCCAGCCCTGCAATACCTTTGAAACTTAATAAGCAGGCTGTAAAGGGATTGGAGGACTCAGGAATGGAAACAGGGTTGGCAGGTGTCATGGTGGTGGGACTGTAGCTAGGATGGTTCAGTGCCGAAGTAACTGTGTTGTACATTTGGATAGTAATAATTTGGATAGTAACTTCCCCAATCTGACATATCTGTGTTGAATCACCCAAAGGAGATTAATGAACCCCAGGACAGACAGCGCACCCTAGCAAATGAGGGGCCCTGGGTCCCAGCTCTGGTTCTTCCTGTAATTAGGAGCATGACCTTGAACAAGGCACTTGTTATTTTGTCTCCTTTTTAAAAACGGAATGAACAAGAGCTGTCCACCATGACAGTAGGTGTTTTCCATGGGATAAGACATGACATATTAAAAAATACAAGGGAATTCACATTGATTTATTAGAACACTATATAATGAGATAACTTTTACTTCTGTACTTGTGTATGAGAGAACAACAAGAACAAAAAAGACGAGCCTTCCTCTGTTCTCTAAGTGGACTGATTTCACGGATGCTGACAATTTCATTTTTGTACTTGCTGGACTGAACATCTGAATCAGAGGTCACACTCAAGGATGCATCTGCACATGGTCTTTATGTACGAAAGCAACACAGACTATACTTAAGTAGTATGGGCATTTTAATTGAAATGACCATTTATATTTAGTTCCCCCAGTCTCTATCATGGGATTTCCCTGCAGCTGGCAAAAATAGCATAGTTTTCAAAGATTCTGTTTTGTACTTTCCAACTTCCTTTCCTTTATCATTTCCCACATTGTGCAACCTGGGGTTTGATGGTAACAATAGATGAGTTTGCAGACCTAAAGCTGCAAGTACAGCAAGTAATATTTGGCCTACCTTTTTCTTTATTCCAGTGGAGTGGATATTAGGGGTATTTAAAGGAAAGTAAAAACAAATGAAAAAAGTAATATCATTATGTAGTGAATTGGTTGACATATCCACGAGGTACAAGACTTGTTTGAAATATACAGTGAATGTTTACATTTAAAAAATTTATTACAGTTAAAGACACATTATTAATCTCTCTAAAAATTCTCCCTCTCACTTTGGATACACTTGTCCCATCATTCTTGCCACATGCTAAACCAGTTCTGGAAGTTTTCTTTCATGTCTTTACAAGGTGTGATGAAAATTACAGCATACTGCTGCCGAGTGCCACATTACATTGTGTC